CAAATGAAGGGACACAAAAAGTCATAAAATCCAATGAATTGCAAAGGGCACATGCGTCAAGTATAAATTCATCACATCCTCATTCCATAAAAGTCACCCTAGTTATGCAAATTACAAGCAGTTTAATTTAACAACAAAATTTTTATTTTTGAAATACCAAAAATAAAAAATTAGAAAACATTGTTATGGTATTAAAATCAATTAAAACATTAAGGACTTAATTATTTCAATTAAAATTTCAAGAATCAAGTTAAAACATGACTTATACTTGAAGAGTATAAATCTTAAAACACTCAAATTAAAATTTTACTTCAACTTAGGTCACGTGTAATATATGTGTGCACTAATTAATATCTATAAAAATTATAAATTAATTATAAAAATAATAAAATTTTTAATTATAAAATAATTCACAAAAATTATAAATTTACTTTTTAAAGAATTACTTTTTAAAGTAGGAAGGAGTTATTGTACTGACGGTAGTCAAATCCATACCTTTTTTTTTCTTTTTTGATCAAATCCATACTTTTTTTTTTATCAGGGCAGTGAAACATTATATTACGGTCAGACTGAATATAATTCTTAAGCTCGAGAGGGGGAGTCTAACAAATCTAATGGGAGTGAATTGGTTAGCATAGAGACTGCGACCCAATGAACACCCCCTGTTACAGACTAGGGGTGCAAGTCGGGCGGGTTAGACAATCAACTCTATCCAACCCTAGGTATATAATCTTCAACTCTAACTCTAACCCTACATCAGGTTGGGGAACTCAACCCGAACATTGCCCTAGTTTAATTCAGGTGGGCTCGGGTTGATGATTTCAGGTTACTTTACGGGTTCAATTCGGATAGAGCTCAAAATAAGCTTATTATTCTAAACCTGATACATATATTACATAATATTCACCTAAATTTACATTCAATAACTTCAATCAAGTTTTTAACGACAGAGGCTGAGAGAACGAGAGAGACAAAGAACGATAGAACAAAAATGAAAAATCAGTGCTAATGCTTTATATATATAATTTTTTTTTTAATTTGTCAAGTTCAGGTTGAACTCGGGTTCACAAGGCCTTAACCAGAACTCAACCCAAATTGAATTCGGATTGGAGTTTTTTTACTCAAGCTCAACCCAAGTATTAAAAATTCTTACCCAAATCTTAATTTTTTTCGGGTTAAAATCGGGTTATCCAACCCAAATTACACCCCTGTTACAGACTCTAAACTTATGTAAAAAATTAAAATTATATAACCTAGTTAAAAATCTAATATCACCCATAGTGGCACTAATTTCTCTGGGAAAACATCTTCCGTGGACCTTAGTTTATTACTAAGGCAGTCATTTAGGATTGTTGCATTAGAAAGCACGAGGACATCAACAAGAAGGCAAGCATGGCGGGCAGCTTCAAATCCATACTTGAAGGACCATACAGAATTCAACTTGTCAGGCCTGAAATATTGTCAGGCCTCGAATAATGTTTTATGTGGGTCCATCACGAACAACTGTATTCAACATCTTCATTTTCAACTGTCCTTCTAGGATCCGAAAGAATCTGATGCAGCCTGTGCTTGTCGGCCTCATTTTGGCACTTCTTTTTCCTTAGTTAGGAAGTAGGCAGTCAAAATTCCACATGAATTTGCACGAAATCTTAATAAGTTAAAGTGATAAGCGAGTTAATTTGTCGGACACACGTTTAGTAAACATATCGTGTTCTGATAAAAAATTTTAATCCGTTTATCACCTGTTTAAAAAATTTAATATAATAATAAATTAATAATTATTTTAAAAAAATTAGTCAAAATTACATACAAAATTCAAGGCTTTGTTTCGAGAGTTACATACGAAGCAATGTATATGTCATTCGGTGTCGAAAACTTCTTCTGCTTCTCTCTTTCTTGCTTCTTATTCAGTCATCTCGGATTTCAAAGGCTTCTTCTTCTTGTATGAATCTCGAACTGTTGATTCCAACAAGGTCTCCAAAGCAGCAGCCGTGAAAGAGACCTCCAAAGCACAGAGTACACAGTAAAAACTTTTAGATCGAATCTCACATTGACAAATTCAAATGAACGAGGTCTCTCGTACTTATAAAAAAGATGCAGCCTCCTTCATTTAGTCATTAAACTTTCTCATTTGTCTTTGCAAGTGGCAGCCAGCTGAAAATTTTTTAATTAAGAGATTACAATTGGTGTAGGTAATTAATGGAGTTTAAAATTTCAATAGTATAATTATTTGCTGCAAGTTAAAATTTTAATAAAATCAAATTGGTCAAATTGGTTAAACGAGTCGTGTCGTGTTACCCATTTATTAAATGGTTCGTGTTTGTATTAGATTTTTTACCCGTTTATAAAATGTGTCGTGTACGGATTTACATATATTTTCACTCGTTTAACTCGGCACGTAACAATTTAACCCGACACGTTTGACACCCATACGAGAAACCAATTACAAATATAGATAATGAAAATAAATCATTAATTTGTACATAAATATCGATTTAAATACTTATTTTAAGTTTATTGATTCATGAAAAATGTCAGTTTTAACTTAAAGATTTTAATAACTTTGTTGATTTGTAAGAGTACTAAAAAAATTGAGAATAAAAGACAAATTTTCTTAATTGTATTGAATAATCTACGATTGTTTTGCGTTAAGACTTACAAGATTTTTCTAACTAGAATCTTAAATAAATTAGAAAAATAAATAAAATAAAATCCTAATTAAATTAGAAAATATAATAAAATCTTCTTCAATTTCCTAATTGAACAGTGTTGACCGCATTAAAATATTTGTCATTTATTCTACGTCATTATTTTATTCTACACATTAAGTCAACCAGTTTGACCGACTCAAACCACCATAATATCGATCCAATTGATCTAAATAATATACTGCTATCTGATTTATATTAAGTATACTAGAGAAACACATGGATTTTTGAACGATACACTTACTTATAACGAGTTTCGCTTGAATCTTCAGTAATAAACTAGTATGAGAAAAAAAATATATTATATTGAAGGGAACTCAACGACTGTCTCTCACAACACACACCTCACATGCCTACTTAGGTAAGATTTGGATGTTATCTTCTTCTCTTCCCACACACACCTCACATTCTTAAAATCAAGATTTGGGTGTAATCTTATGTAATACCTCCCATTTTTTTTATTTTTTTTGTTTTCATGTAAAGTTTGAGGTGTTATGTACTCTGCACAACAATATCTCATAGCAACTTCAATGGGTACCTCAAATCATAATAGTGGCGAGTTATAAATTTAGACGCCTTTAATTTGAATTTTAACAATTCTTTAGGGTTAAGCCGTGAGAGATTTATCCCTTATGAATACTCTAATTCTGACGTGGATGGTTTGCCATTGACCGGATCGGCAAAAAAATTAATCAAAATCCCCACAACCTAGTTTGAACACCCTTGACCACTGAACCGAAAAAAAAAATATCTCATAGCCAGGGTGATGATTTAAGCCTCACTTCCCCAATAATTGAGATGACCATAATATCAATCTACGGACAGTTTAACTGTTATACATTAACCTCTCAGAACCACACATTTACATGTGAAGAAGACGACCAAGTTGGGAAGAGGAAACAAAGTCAAATATCCCAACTTTGATATGGTAGGATCCATGAAACCCCACCATTCATATACCGGAACAAGGCTAATGTTGTCAATATACAAACAGTTGATTCAAAGCATGTTTATTTTCTAACAAATGCAACAAGGAAAATGCATACACAAAAGGGTGGTTCTGGACAGTGGAGGTTCTCTATACAAAAAACTTTCATGAACCAGCCCAACATACTTGGTAAGACTTTCAACAAAAAGTAGCCAAATTCCAACATCCGCACTTGGTTATAATTGTTGTAGGGTTAGCCTATTGCAAATCTTACACATTGAAATCAGTCTCAAATCATGTCAAATCGAAGAATAGGTAATGAAATTTGGCCACTAGAATAGAAACACTCTTCCAACGTTAATTGTTTCGTGATCTACATGAAATTAATCTTCACTTCTACTTCTATGTAAGCCTATCTATAAAACAGGGATTTAAAAATCGATCGTTACGGCGCGTAACAATCGTTACGTAACGAAAATGATAAACTCTAATTCTATTACACCTCAATATATATACCGGGTAAAATAAATTTCACAATTATACGGTCGTTACGGTACCGTAACAACATATAATAGGCGTTGTCAGAGCGTTACAGTCCGTAGCGCTGATGTACTTTTGTAGCTTCTACTGCTCGTCCACGGCAATTTCATAACCGGAAGAGATGGCCAGATAAAATGACGACGAAGCTTAGTGGGCTGAGTAAAGACAGACTGTCATGGTTGGCAGGCTTTTGGAAAGGCCAAAAAACAAGTGGAGGATATTCTTTCTACGACCTATGTAACGAATGGTTGTTGATTCATTATCAACAAATCTAGTCAATGAAAAACCGACAAAGGTCCTGCTCTTTAATAATGTGAATGAGTGAATTTGATCAGAGTAGAAATTTGAAGGTGACGAGGCCTTCTTGCAAATTTAACGGCTAATAATTTTTATTGGCAATTACAATTTTTTTTTATTTTATCCCTGATCGAAATCTAATAGTTACTTTGACCACTTCCCATTTTGAATACAATTTTCAAATAAATATATGTTAATTGCTTAGACTAATTTTCTTTCTTTTGTCTTAAATTTGGATTAATTAAGCAATTTAGCGTACCAAAATCATAAATATAGTAAAAAATTATTATAAATTACAAAACTATTGAATTTATTTTATTTTAATCCAAATATATAAAAAAAAATTATTTTTGCCGATAGTAGTGATTGAACTAACAAAATTCACAACTCCGATATAACACCCGTTACACCTCGTGTCCGTTACAACGTTACTAATACAGTTACATCATTCTTTACCTTTATTTAGAACCATGCTATAAGAACACTCGCAATGATCCAAACCAATCCCACATTCCTAGCCCCCCTCTCTCTCTTTCTCTCTTCCCTTTTGGCTTGCAATAACAATGAAACAAGAAAATGGATACAAAAAAGGTTTCTGGACAAAGGAGGAGGACAAAATTCTCACGGGGTACGCAAGGAAGCATGGAGAAGGCAGGTGGAATCGTGTTACTAAAATGACAGGTTCTGATTTGCTATATACATAAACTTCCATGCACTAGTCCAACATATTTGTTAAGAATTTCCAAAAGAAACAAGGGTTAGGTTTGCACCAAAATTACTATTTTTGGATTATAACTAGTACTCAATAAAGATTTTGTTGTAGGGTTGAGGAGGTGTGGCAAGAGCTGCAGGTTAAGGTGGATTAACTATCTATGTCCTAGTGTGAACCGTGATGATTTTTCTGAGGAAGAAGATGACCTCATTATTAGGCTCCATAATCTCCTTGGAAACAGGTCATTTTTCTTTTCTATTACACACAGCTGTTTATACTAGTATTTTTCTTCTTCATGGAGGAGGGAAAAGTTAGGGTGAGTTTAATACATCATTGGCTAGTGTCATATAAATTATCATAGTCGATTTTTTTTTAAAAAAACATTCAGACTATACGACACTGTCAAGTGATGTATTAAACTCGCACAAAAATTTCTCTTGCTCGTAACCACTAAAACATTAACACACCACTTTCTCCACTACTAGGGATTATCACAGTAGTACTTCTTCTAACATGACAGTTTCAATAGATAGTAAAACATAAAACTTACACATGTCGACATGTTTTTCTGCTACAACATAAGCAGAGCAGTTGCACGTGTTGAGTGTTCCTAGGACTTTTTTTTTTGTGAGAATTAGATGTGAGTGCCCTATGTGCACTTGTTTGAAAATAAGTCTTATAAAAAAATTTATAAGGGTTTAAGTTCATGTTTAAAATTATATGTAATAACTTAAGTTTATTTTTTTTTTATCTCAAAAATACCCTTCTTAAAAGGAAGTTAATTTTTTCTCTCTCATATCTATCTATATCTATATATAGGTTAGGAGTTTGACTAACATTAAAATTTTTCCTCTCTCTTATCTATCTATATATATATATATATATATATATATAATAACATTAAAAAAAATAGTAACATTCAAATACAGAAAAAAAAAGTTACTATGAATTTGAATAGTAAAATTCAAATTCATGTTACTATTTTTTTTATTATGTTATTGTTCATGTTACTACTTTTGTCGAGTATATTACTGTTCATGTACTATTATTTTTGAGCATGTTACTGTTTTTGTTGACCATGTTATTACTATTATTTTCCTAAATATTAATATTCAATGTTACTATTTTTTTTTTTGAATATTACTATTTTTTGCGTTTGAATTTAAAAGAAATAATTATTGTTAAGTAAGTTATAGTTTTTGTTAAACATATTACTATTTTTGTTGAACATGTTAATATTTTTGTTGAACATATTACTGTTGTTATTTTTTAAAAATATTAAAATTGAATGTTTCAATTTTTTTTATGTTTAAATGCTATTTTTTTGTGTTTAAATGTATTATTTTTTGTATCCAAATGATATTTTTTTTGTATTTGAATGTTACTATTTTTTATTTTTAATGTTACTATATCTATATACATATATATAACCTATATATAGATAGATGAGAGAGAGAAAAAATTTTAATGTTAGTTAAACTCCTAAAATTTAGGAATTTTTAATTTTTAGTTTTATTTCACTTCTAAAGAAAATGATAGTACGATAAAATTGACAAAAAACGGACTTCATAAAAAATAAATTTTTTTGACGAACTTAAGTCTAAACAAATTTATATAGGAGGATCGGGCTCCAAATTTCCCTTTTTTTTTATTTTTTTGGCGCTTTAATGATTGTTTCTATTATGGCACTAGGAATTGGTGATTGTATATTTCATTTGCTAGGAACCCAATTCGAACTCTCATCATGTACCGTTTGAGCAATGTTATAAGAACTTAAAAACATGTAATGTTATATGAACTTAAAAATTAGATTTAAAATTTTGATTTTATAATCATAACTATTGATTTCACTGTGGGTTTCAGTATTTATTGGGACCCTCTATCTATTCAATAGTTATAATTATCAAGTATAATTTTTAAATTAATGTAACATTACTCATACATTTTTAATTACAGAGAGCGACGTGGCTTGCTAGTTAGCTCCAGCAATTAATGAAAAACTCCGTCGTCATAGTAAGTTAGATTTGCACGAGTAAATTAATGTTATGGTTACTACATTTTTTATCAAGTTTTTTATTTTGAATGATATGACACAATTTTCATCATTAAATATTAATGAGATTCACATATTTAATGATGAAGATTGTGCCACAAGATGAAAAACTTGATAAAAAATTTTAATTAGCATGTATAACACAGTTGTACCCATAAATTGGCCGGTAACAATGCAAAAAAAAAAATCACAAAAAGGATATAGAGTGGTGAACAACTACCCCTAAGCCAAGATGAAGCATAGTTGTGGTGAAGGGGACCATGACCCCCGAGTTTTTGGCAATATTTTAGTGGTTGTTTGAATAGTAACTCATTTTTTCACTTGATTGAGCACCCCCAAATGTTGCATCCTTCAATGGTTATCAGTTGGCTCTTTCCCTGCTACTAACGTTATAGCCCTCACAAATTTTATCACTTTCAAAGATCAAAATTTTGTTTTAAAACGGTTAGCGAATTAGTGATAAAATACAAATTTTAATACTTCAAAGTATTCTATAATGTTTTAAGATGTTTTATAATATTTTAATACATTTTCACAATTGTTTCGGAATGTTTTAAAATATTTTAAGATTTACTTTGGCATATATCGACCAGTGTTTTGAAAAAAAAATATTTTTTAATTTTTTTCATTTATTTTGAAAACTGATCGAAATGTTTCTGAAACACATTGAAACGTTTTTATTTCTTAAATAATCGAAAAAATGCACCAAAATAAAAATTTGATCCTTGATCTCTTTTTCTTTTGTGGGCATTCAAGCCAGTTTAGTCAGCTATATGTTTTGATCATACTAGAATAAGTGATATGGTAGCAACAATTGGTGCATGCATGCACTAGTAGTTCTATATTGTTGTTGTCAATGATCGAGCCAACTAAATTGTTGCGACTTCTATCTTAAGGTGGTCTTTAATTGCTGGCCGACTCCCAGGAAGAACCGACAACCAAGTTAAAAATCACTGGAACACTCGCTTGCGCAAGAAGTTGGGAATCAACAAGGAAGAAAACAAAGTTAGAGCTTCGTCGCGAGCAATTCCTAAAACAGTTCGAGAGAATTTTAATAATTCTCTCCAGACGAACTTGGGGGCATTGTTACCTAATCCTAATGGCAATCAAGAAGCTACCAATCAAAAGCCAGTGCTTGAAAATGACTCTATGAGCACAATCAGATTTTTAGACTCACTCCAAATGACCATGAATGATGAGAGCTCATTCTGGTTTCCTGATGGCGATCTTGGCCTAAACAACCCTAATTTTGAAGAACTTTTGGATCAGAATGCTCTGGACTTTGTTTGGAATGGCTTCTAAAGTGGCTTCTTTCTAATATGGTGTGTAAAAACCCTAAAATTTCTTTTTCCGGAAAGGTCTATGGTTTTACGTAAGCTCTACTTCTGTTATTATTAAATAAGTAATTTCCATGTTTGCAGTTATCTATAAATGTAAGTTTTCAACTTTGATATCGTATTGTACATTCTAATTTTGGGTTGATGATATGACAAGTGTTTTTTGACTGCTATACTGTGATTTTTCAACTTTCATCTCTTATTCTACATTCTAATTCTCTTCTTAAATTAATGTTGTTTTCGTAAAAGCTTGATTTGAATCGGGCGGCTCAACAGTATTATCAAAAAAGCTTGAGTTTTATCCCTCATTTTTAAAGAAGGCCTTATTTTTAAAGAATGTCCTAAATTTTTAAATATTATAAATAGTCCATGTAAAAAAATTAAATCCATAAATACTTTAAGCCCTATAAAAATGCCTTATAAAAACACAAGTCCAATCAAAAAAATTTAAGGTCTCACTTCAGCGAAGTTTTCATAATTTATAGTGTGCAGTAATAGTCCAAATAAAAATTTTAAATTCATGCCCAAATAAAAGATTTCAACTTAAGTAGATTAGACCTATTAATTTAGTCGTGAAATTAAAAGGCCCTAATTTTTTTTAAAAAAAAAAAAACTAATTGTAAATTAACACTACTAAAATATCTAGTTTTAACTCTCAAAAAAGTCAAGTTTAAACTTACCTCATAATTTTTCAATCATTATTTATCCCTCTTATCATTAAGTTCAAATATGGTAACAAAAAATTAAATATAAAATTTTAATTAATATTTTTATATTTAAAAAATTAAAAATTAGATTTATTATTAATATTAATACAAAAAAACCTCATTTATCATTTCCGCTTTAGGCCCTAAAATGTCTCGGACCGCCCTAGTTTGAACCCTTTCAATATAAAAACGTATTTGAAAAATAGGTTTTTAAGATTTTTTTTAGTTAAAGCCCATTTTGTGAATACGCTCCATATTAAAAAGTGAGATTAAACTACATTTTGTGATGACCCGTATAAAAAATAATCACTAACACGCTAATTAAGTGATCAATTATAATTCTATATGACTAACGATTATTTTTAAAAATTTTAAATAAATAAATGGACTTCAATTATAAATTCTCTATGTGAAAATAAGTCAAATTAATAACTATAATATAGATCATATTTCATATTAAAATAAAAATATTATAGTATCTGAGTGATATATTAAATGAGTAATATATAAATAATATGTGATTTAGATGGAGATATTATAAAAAATAAAAAAGTGGACAAGTGTCATAAGAAGGGGTTAGCCATCTTTTAAGTAACAAGTGTGTTTTATTAAAAAAAAAAGACCCTAGACCAAAAATGGACATTTGTCCAATGAGATCACATGCATTGCAAGCATGGTGACGTGAGCTGGAGGAGTTTTGGCTATAAATAGTCATGAAGCCATGGCCAAAACGCAGAAGAAGGTGGACAGAGAGAGAGAGAATAGAATAGAAGAAAAAAATTATGAGTTTTGGGGTTAAAAATTGAATAATGATTCTATTTCATATCATTATCAAATTTAAATATTTTGTTTAAGGTATTTTGAATTTTATATATTGAAGTCATTTGAGGTATGAGATAATGTACAATATGTTTCTATCTTTTAAATTTCTTTATAAACAGTGTCCTTTAATTATTTAAAATTTATATTCTTATTGATTATTCTAATTGATACGAAATTCTATCAATTTTATTGGTTGACTTGTATTTTAAGTTAAATACTTTGGGATTGATTGGTACATGTAGAAAACATACTTGAGACGTAATTGGTAAAATATAATTATGGTCTTACAGGGTGCGATTGTGATTACAGTCCTACGGGGGTGTGATTGGTTACTATGAGTATGGATTTATATGCTTAAATATCACTTGTCATATTATCAAGAGAAACCGAGTATGAAATTATATTTGATAGTTGTTGAGTTATGTGAGCCGTTGAATATGATTCTTGATTATATTATTCATTATTCATATCATCTGAGCTATTTGGTATTTAATCATTCGTATTTTTTTGTTATCGTTGAACATATTATTTCTTGTCATATTGTATACTTCCCTACTTTTAATATTTTTTCAGGATTATCTCAGAGGAAAGAATTAAAGTTGAGACATGAGAGAGTTATAGATTTATAACTTTTTTGGTTTATTGTGATAATATATAATTTGAACAGACTTATTTTTATATTGAGAAAATTATTTTTATTCTGAAGTATTTAGAGCTTTGTCCCTATATTCGGAGATTTATTTATGATTTATTATGATCGATTAATTTAATCAAGTAATGCGTCAAAAAAATTGGGGCATTGCACGTTCTTATATATACAGTAGTATTTGTAAATTGACCCAACCGGAACGATTATTATTACGAGGGATTTTCCTTTTTATTAACGTTAAGATCTTTTGAATGACATGTTGCATGTGTATGAAGGCGATATGATAACACTTATGTTTTGTTTGGTACGATGGATAAATAAAAGAATAGAAAGTTAAAAAAATAAATAAAACATCATATTTGATAAAAAAAAAATATGAAGGATGAAAAAATTTATGAATTAATTTTGCTTCCAACTCACAAAAATCAATCCCTCAAAATTTGAAAGAAAAAATAGATGAAATTTTTATTATGTACGTTAAAATGTATGTTATTTATATATATATCCTTTGATATATACATATATCATATTTATCAATTACATATTATATATTTATTAATTTCATATATAGATATAATGATAAAATATATAATTATAATAAAAAAATATTTTTTTCCATCTTATCAAACACATAATATATATATATATATATATATATATATATTATATATATATATATATATATCAATTTTTCTTACTTTTTATTTCTCTGACCAAACACAAAGAAGAAAAAAAAGAAGAATTCTTACATTAAAAAATTAAAAATATATTACCCTTATTTTTCATATTTCTACTTTTTCATTCCCTTGTCAAAGAGACCTAACATTCGAAGTTTATTAAAGTTTGGCCCTATCATCTTTTTCAATCCAAAAACCTAGGACTAGGACTAGGACACCTCTCTATCTCCCAACCACAACTCTCCTAGGCTTTAGCTAAGAGTGTAACTCGGGCGGATTGAACGAGTTGGACAGTCAACTTAACCCTATTCTAGGTATATAATCTTCAACTCTATTTCTAACTCTAATCTTAACCCTAACTTAACCCGAGTTGAAGAACTTAACCTGAGCACTGTCCGAGTTTAATTTGGGCGGGCTCAAGTGAATTCAAGTTAATAATTTCGGATTACTT